ACTGTACAGTACCTTAAAACCATCCAGATTTCATGGTCCACTTGGATCCCTAGATCCCTGCTTATTTGTATCCGTGAGGGTGCAACTAATTTTCTGGTACATAACAAACTCAGTGTACGCATCTGTATGTAATCCATTATAATAAATCAGGTTAATGTGAACAACAATCCATGGAAACATGCTTGGGTGCAGAACCAGTATGTTCTGTAATCCATTAGAACGTCAGAGGTTTCTAAACCAGTGTGTTCTGTAATCCCTTAGAACGCCACAGTTTTCTAAACCACTATGATCTGCAATCCCTTAGAACGCCACAGGTTTCTAAACCAATATGTTCTGCAATCTATTATAACGTCACAGGTTACTAAACCAGTGTGTTTTGTAATCCCTTAGAACGCCACAGATTTCTAAACCACTATGTTCTGCAATCTATTAGAACGTCACAGGTTTCTAAACCAGTGTGTTCTGTAATTCACTAGAACGTCACAGGTTTCTAAATCAGTATGTTATGTCATCCACTAGAATGTCACAGGTTTCTAAACCAGTGTGTTTTGTAATCCCTTAGAACGCCACAGATTTCTAAACCACTATGTTCTGCAATCTATTAGAACGTCACAGGTTTCTAAACCAGTGTGTTCTGTAATTCGCTAGAACGTCACAGGTTTCTAAATCAGTATGTTATGTCATCCACTAGAATGTCACAGATTTCTAAACCAGTATGTTACTGTAACCTAATAGAATACAGAACATAATGCTTGTCTTCTAATCCAGTCTGTTCAAGAATACAGTAGAACATCCTTCAAACAAAGAGGTAAGGCAGCTAGTCAACGGCATCCTCTGTTTGGCTACTCTAATCGGATAGTGGGATTTGATCATAAGTCCTATAACACACCCAAGGCCTCAAAGTGAGAACCGCGATTTTGCTGAAATAGGACATGAACTATGAATCCTTGGTCTGGTACCCTAACCAAGCCACGCTCACCCAGTTCTTTAATGAACTGTTTTAAGTGGTTATCATTATAAATATACTGTTATAATTTATTCTTTTCGTAAGGTTTCAAAAATCTGACTTAAAACATTGTGCAGGAAATATTGAGAGCTTCGACATGCGCCTATACAAAGGCAACTCTTTCTGGCTGTAATTACAATTACATATACACCTTAACATTATCTTAATTAGATCGCTTTCAATGTTCCATCCTAGAGCTACAAGGAAATGTCACACTTTCTTCGAAATAGAACATGGTTTTGAAATGGAGCGTATTTAATATACAGTTTTTAACCTAAAGAAAGGCGCTTCTTTGTAGTATGAA